CTGAGCTTGACCCAGAGCCCGGCGCCGTTGCAGTACTCCTCGCCGGTGGCGCGCAGGCAGCCGCCCTTCCGCACCTCGATCGTGGCCCGCGCCGCCCGCTTGCCGCCCCGCGCCGGCCCCGGGCTGTCCCACACGCTGAGCAGGCTGCGGGCGGCGGCGGCCGCGGCGGCCGAGGGGTCCTTGCAGATCTTGTACTGCACCTCCCGCGGCACGTAGCAGAGCGCGGCGGGCAGCGCCCGGGCGCGGCGGAAGCACTCGCTGCACTGCAGCAGGAACCGCAGCCGGCCCAGCACCTGGTGCGGCGCCTCCCCGCCTGCCCTCATCGCGCTCCGGACACCGGCTCCGCTGCGCTCCGGTTTACGGCGAACCCCGCCCGCCGACAGCCAAGATGGCGGCGCCCGGCAGGGCCGGACGTAGAGCAAGATGGCGGCGCCCGTGTCACGTACAGAGGAGTGGGGCAAGATGGCAGCGTACGGAGGGGCGGAAGCCGGGCAAGGGGCGGGGAAAGATGGCGGCGCGAGCGGGGCGGGATGGGGGCGGGACCGGGCGGACCGCGCCGCGTCTGGGGGCAACTGAGAGGCCGGGGACAGGCGGAGGAGGATGGAGGGTGGCGAGCGGCTCCTGTAAGTAACCGGAACCGGGCAGGCCTGCGTCCCTTTCTAGTGTGGTAACGGGGCCACGTTCCGACTCCTGCACGGGGGATACTGGTGTGGCTCTGGGAACGGCGATCTGGCACTGTGGGAGCACTGTGGATAGTGGTTTCGTGCTGAGATCCTGTACTGCGAACTGTGCTCTGGGGACACCGCCGAGGCACTGGAGTGGCCCTGGGATTATGGTGCTGGCACAAGAGTCCAGTACTGGGTCACTGGAGACGCTCTGGGCGGGGAGGGAGCGGGATGATCCTGCCCTGGGAGGGATCAGCGGGGCCACTGGTGTGGTAGTTAATTCACCGGTCCCAAGTGGAGGTTCTGGGGACTTTGTTCGCATAGGCCCCGCGGTTGCCGGGGCTCCCCTCCCAGGTGGAGGCCGGACTCCAGAAGCCCCACAGTGGGGGGAGGTTGGGGCCGCGTGGCCTGGCACAGACCGCGGGGAATGCAGGACGGCCCGCCCCGCGCCCCGCTCGTCCCAAATCTCTCCGGGCGGGAGCAACTGGTGGCCCCGATAACTTAATCTCGTGGGTCCTGGGCAGCGCATCGCCGCTCCCCCGGGGGAGCCCGCGGTCCTCGGCAGGAAGAAGTCCTGGGCTGTGGCAGGGAGAATTTATCACATTTGTCACAGCTGGGCGCAAGCCTCTTCTACGGTCAAGAAGTGGGGATAAGCTGCTTACCTCTGGCACCTTCTGCCCCAGCGTGGGGACCTGTCAGGGCACCCAGACCCATCGTGGGTGACAACCTGTACCTGCTCTTTGCTCCGCAGCCCCAAAGGTTTCCCCAAGCTGAAGAACGACACGTTCCTGCGCGCGGCGCGTGGGGAGGAGACGGAGCACACCCCGGTGTGGTGCATGCGGCAGGCCGGGCGGTACCTGCCAGGTGAGCCGTGGAGGTGTGCGGGGGGTAGCAAAGGGGCCTCGGGAAGAACCCAATAACATTTGTTGTGGTCCGTTGTAGAGTTTTTGGAGACACGGGCCTCACAGGATTTCTTTGCCACTTGCCGGAGCCCCAAATTGTGCTGTGAGCTGACACTGCAGGTGAGCATCACTCAGGGGTCTGTGTGTCCCCTCTCCCTTCCCAGATGGATATGGGGAGAAACCTTGGTTCTAACCATCCTGGGTGGCCTCAGTAAATTGTGCAGCCCTTGGGGACTCCACTTCCTCGTGTGCTTGAGCACCTCCTCCATGGGAAGAGAGTTGCAACCCCTCACTAACATTGCCTCTTCCTCTGTGCAGCCACTAAGACGATTCCCCCTGGATGCTGCCATCATCTTCTCTGACATCTTGGTGGTGCCCCAGGTGAGAGCCATGGCCAATGCCATGGGAAACAGCAGCTGGCAACAGGGCAGAGTTCAGGGCTGCCCCATTCCTGCTTCTCCATTCTCCCCTGTCCCCAGGCACTGGGCATGGAGGTTGTTATGGTCCCTGGTAAAGGACCCACATTCACAGAGCCTCTGAAGGAGGTGGAGGATCTGCTGAAACTGCGACAGAAGGTGGATGTCACCGCAGAGTTAGGTTACGTCTTCCAGGCCATCACACTGACACGACACAGCCTGGAGGGCAAGGTGCCCCTCATCGGCTTCTCAGGGGCACCGGTAAGTGACGTGGCTCCTCTGTGTGGGTTTCCCTAATGGGCTCCTCTGCTCTCAGGGTGAGACCAGCTATGGCACCCCCAGCTGTGGGTGCTACATGGGTGCGTAAGGGGCAGCATTCAATGCAGGAGCAGCTGTGCCCCAGGCTCTGGGGTGCTCACAGGTCCTGCCTTCAGCACTACGACTGGGACTTTGTGTCTTCTTTCATCTCCATCATTCCCCTCACTTCTCCTCACAGTGGACACTCATGTCCTACATGATTGAAGGTGGTGGCTCCACTACAATGGCCAAGGCCAAGAGCTGGCTCTACCGTCACCCTGAGGCAAGCCACCGCCTGCTACGGCTGCTGGCCGACGTCATCATTGACTACCTGGTGGGGCAGGTGGCTGCTGGAGCACAGGTTTGTCCTGGGGCAATGGAGACAAGGACAAGAAGGAATACAGGGACTGAGGGTCTGCTCTCCCAGTCCCATGGGAAAGTGGTTGAGTCACCATCCCTGGAGGTGTTTGATAGACAAGTAGATGGGGCACTTGGGGACATGCTTTATTGGTGGATTTGGCAGTGCTGGGTTAATGGTCAAACTCAATAATCTTGAAGGTCTTTTCCAGCATAAAGGTTTCTGTGTCCCTGGCAGGCGCTTCAGCTGTTTGAGTCCCATGCAGGGCACCTGGGCCCAGAACTGTTTCAGGACTTCGCCCTGCCTTACATCCGAGACATTGCCCAGGCTGTCAAAAGCAAGCTGAAGGAGGAGGCACTGCCCTTGGTGCCCATGGTGAGTCAGGGCTGCCTGGATTGACCCTGACATCTGAGGGCTGCTGGAGAGGGGTGCATTCCCGGGTACCTGCTTCCTTCAGTCCAGCCCATGGAGAGGGGTCTGACTCACAGCAGTTGCTGCCCATCTCCTCCCTCCCCAGATCATCTTTGCCAAGGATGCGCACTACGCCCTGCGTGACCTGGCCCATGCAGGTTATGAGGTTGTTGGTCTCGACTGGACCATCCGGCCCCAGGAAGCTCGGTAAGAGTCTGACACAGGGCTCAGGTGTCTGGCCAAGATCCCAGGCCAGGTACTCTGACCTCCTTCTCTGGAAGGACATTGGTCTGGACATTGCTGCTTCAAAGGTGAGGATAGTTGGGCTACCATGCTAGAGCTTCTAAAGGCTGTGCTGAGGGGTCCTGGGTGTCCTGTGATAGGGGCTGCAGGCACCTGGCTGCCCTCAGCCCCTCTACCACATGCAGCAACTCACCTGCTTCCTCCCTGCTGCAGTGCACAGGTAGGAAAAGAAGTCACCCTGCAAGGGAACCTGGATCCATGTGCTCTCTATGCACCCAAGGTGAGCCAGGGCCATTTCCAGCAACTACTTCAAGCCTGTGTTAAAGGCTTTCTGCCTCAGCTTCCCCACTGCAGCATTGGCTTATGTCCCAGGAGTCCCCCAGGCTAGCTGGGGAGGGGGGGGACTAGTGGGGGGTGAAATACCCTGAGCTGGATTGGTCTGACATATGGTTTCCTACCATACCTACAGGAGAAGATTGGCGAGCTGGTGAAGAAGATGCTGGAGAGTTTTGGGACCCAACGCTATATTGCCAACCTGGGCCACGGCCTCTACCCTGACATGAACCCTGAACATGTGGGTGCCTTTGTGGAAGCCGTGCATGCTCATTCCCGTCATATCAACAAGCACAGCTGAGCCTGGGCCCTGGGGACAGGACTCTGGTTTGGGCACAGTCACCCATGTTGTCAGAGGGCTCACCCTAGGCTGGGCTGCAGCATTAAACCAGGACCTTCTCTGCAGCAGCCGTGTGACTCTGGCTGGGGGATGGGGAACTGGATAGCCCTGAAGGAGTTGGGAAGTCATGGCAGGCTGCTAGAGGAGCATGTGCAGTGAGGGCGAGCCCCTGAGCCCTATCCTGCAGGTCAAAATGGGGAAACAGGGATGGCAGAAAATTGTGGAGGGTGCCTCTCCCTGCCAGGCTGCAGAGGATGTGAGCCCAGGTTACAACAGCCATCTGAGGATGGCCGTGCTTAGCCCTGCTAGGGAAGGTGAGCTGCCTGAGGCTGGCAGGGTCACAGCCTGGGAGCTTGGGGCTCACAGTCCACCACTGGCAGATTCAGTATTAGCTGTCCCACAGTCCTGCTCAAGTTGGATTGGGCAATGTGTCCTCAAACCAGAGTAGTCTCAAGGGGCTGGGAGACACAGCAGGACTCACCTGGGAGACAGCTAGCAAAATGGCAGGAGAACCTCTGACACAGCACCACCAGCACCCTGCCACACTGGCTGGGATGGCAGCAGAGGCACCATGGCCTTCCTCCTCCAGCTCCTAAAGCCTCTTTAGGTCCTAGAGTGTTCTCCCATGTACACCTCCCATCTCCTCTGATCCTCGGGGCCAAGCTTGCCTGGGCTCAGCAAACCCTGCAAAAAAGCAGCCCAGAAACCTTGAGTTACAGCTCCTTGCCACCCCATCCCACACTGCAGCACACTCACTGGTCCAGGTTGGCAGCAGGATGGATTAAGACATGGGCAGAAACGCTGTTCTAGCTGGCATGGATAGGGCAGTGTCTCCATCATGGGCAAGGACCTGATAACACTGTACATAGCAGGGAATTGCACCCAGAAGCAGCCAGGGTCCCTTGTCCCTGCTCTGTCCTCCTCCTTGGGGCACAGGAGCTGGCTAGCACAGGAGGCTGTGACACTGCTCTGCACAAGTGTGGTGACCACCCCTGACTTCAGAGAAAGGCAGACACAAGTGAGAGACACAGGAGGTAATGTTCATCCCTTTTATTATTAAACATCAGATGAAGAGGTCGCACACACACATACACGCACGCACGCAAAACAAAACAAAAAAAAAAAAAGGGGGAAGGAAAAAAGAGAGAAACAGACTGGTTGAAGACTGCTATTTTGGTGGCGACACAGACTGAGTACAATTGGGTTCCTGGCCAGAGCGCAGACATGAGTCACTTGCCAAAAAATGAAACCAGACAGCAGATAACTAGCGCACGTTCTCTAACTACAAGTCACCATCCAGACTGGCCCTGGCCCCCCCCAGCCCTCCCAACCTGCTGGCAAAGAAATGAACCAAAACTGAAGAGCCACCGGCCCAGGGCTGGAGTGTGCCCCCAGTGCGGGGCGAGCCAGGAAGGGCCGAGCGTTGGCAGCACCACGGAATTGGGAACGGTGCGGGAAGGTGACGCGGCTGCCCCTCCCTCCCCTGGAGCCAGCAGCCCTGGTGCCCGCCCAGGCACTCCACCCTTCACCCACCCTGCGATGGGCTGAGTCCTCCATCGCCAGCATCTGTGTGTGTCCAAGCAAGCATCGTCCCGAGGTCCTTCCTTCGCTATCCTCCAGTGCCGGGCTGCTGCTCCTCCATCCATCTGTCTGTCCATCCCAGGGCTGTGAGTTGAGTAGATGTTCGCCTCCCCCCCACACCCTTCTTGCTGCTGACGATGCCATGGGAACCTGAGAAATGTTCGCGTGCCTCCTCCTCTTTTTGTCTGTGGTTTTGTGTGGGTTTTTTAAATAATAGTTATAATAATAATAACAATAATAATAATAATAGCAATAATAAAAATAATCGCCCCAGCCCACAACAATTTCAAGTATCCCCCAAATAAAAGACAGAATTATAAATAATTATAACTTTACAATTTAATAATTGACACATATACTATAGTATTTACAGTATCATAAATGCTTTTTTTTTGTGTTACTTTTAGTAAGCAATCCCTGAGAACAGTTACTTTTACTTGTTTTTATTGAAGTATCTTCACAAATAGAGGAGTTTGCATGTCTCGGGCGGGCGGGAGAAGCGCTCTGCAAAGCCATCGCTTTTGGTGACGCATGAGGTTCTAGTGTCGCAGGTTTCTTTGCTCGTTTTTTGTTTTCCTTTTTTTTTTGTTTTTTCCTTTTTTTTTTTGTTAAATTCCCCACATAATTTTAAAGATTTTTCACTTTGCAACCTTCGTATCCCTCCAGCGACCACGTCCTTCAGGAAAGAGGTATTAGATTTCCAGGTTAGCTTTTGGTATTGGCAAGGGAGGGCAGGGGGCTGAGTAAACCATCCTTTTTCCCCGTGGTTGCCTTTTGGTTTGTGCCCAAGGAATCTCTGGATCCTCTCAGTGTGTGAAATGGTTAAATCCAAGAAAGAGTAACACTAAAAGAAAAAAAAAAAAGAAAACAAACAAACAAAAAAAAGAAACAGAAGACCAAAACAGAGCAGCCTCTGCCAGTGGGGGGGAAGCTGATCTCCACTTCCTTCCTTCTTCTCTCCCAAGTCCCCGTGCTGCTGCCAGACCCTGCCAGTGAGCATGGCAGGAGCCAGGGCTCACCCAAACCGTTCTCGCACCAGCAGCATCAGTTTTTTCTTGCCTTTGTAGATTTGTTTAAGATTGTCAATGAACTGGGCGAACTGTATGTGCCCGTCCTGCGCCAGGAGGAAGGTCTCCCTGGCCTTGCTGAGGAACTCGATGAACTCCCCATAGTGCCGTGGGCTGATGTGGGTGAGCCGGGAGTGGGTGGTGTTGATGTAGGCGCTTATCGTCGCGTCCAGCAGCTGCCGCAGGGGCGCTTTGTCAGTGGACATCAGCTTCCCCGAGTTCCTGCGCCCAGGGATGCCGGCCAGCCCTGGCGCTGTCATGGTGCAGCGGCGAAGGATGTCCGAGAGCACTGTGGCACAGTGCACGCTCTTCACCACCAGTGGGATGATGGCTGCCAGCTCGTTTTTGCCCAGGGAGTGGCTCAAGGCGCAGGCCCAGAGCACATCATTGATGGCTGGGTGAGTGTCCTGGTTGTAGGCCAGGTTGAGATGTGTCATGGCCAACGAGGCCAGTTTGAAGGCTCGAAGTGGGTAGCCCCGGTGTTCCATGTAGCGGGCGATGGTGAAGAGCTGTGTGTAGGTCATGCCGGTGGAGGCAGCATCAATGACTATCTGGTAGGCGGTCTCAAAGGCGATGTGGTCCTTCTCACAGAGGGTCAGGGCAGACAGGGCGCAGTTCTGGGGGTCCTTCATGGCGCATTGCAGGGCCAGGGTACGGGCACAGCTGGCCAGCTCCTCCCTCTGTGGGTAGTCCAGGCTCAGGCGCAGGATGGTGTTGTGGGACATCACCGTGGCTGCCACAATGCTGGTGGCTTCCGTGGGTGTGAACAATGAGTACCAGCTCTGCAGGATGCTCACCAGGGCCCTCACTCCTGCAAGAAAACACCGTGGTCACAGCACAGCCCTGGAACCTGACTCAGGTCATAGGGTTCCTCTGAGACCCAGAAACAGGGCAAAACCAGCCTACAGCAGTGCTGAGCTGCTGCCTCTGCCCCAAGAGGGAGAGGACAGAGGGGGACAGGCAGAGGCCAACCTGCACTGCCGTGCTGCAGGGCACAGAGACCACCACTGGCCTGGGCCAGGTAACAGGGCACCCATCCCAGTCCCAGAACTGGCCACTGCTGCAGTCCCAACCCTGTCAGCTGGTGCTCTGAGGTGAATTCAGTTACCCAGGAAGAAATGAGACTTGTGAGAAGCTCAGAGCTAGGCATGACCCTAGGATCTCCATGCATAACCCTGTTCCCACTGCATGCAGGCCAGATCCCCCCACCGCACATGGAACTCACCCACTTCAGTAGCACACGTCACCAGCCACCTCACCATCTCCCGCCGCCGCCAGTTGAGGGTGGACAGGGTCATGCGCATCACCTGCGAGGCAAACTTGAAGTGACTGGCTGCCCTGCAGGGCTCTAGTGAGACCACCCAACAGAGCAATGCTCCCCAGAAATCCCTCTGGTTCAACTGGCTACCTGGCACTGCCTCACCTCTACCCAAACCACAGTGAGCACAGGGGCTTCCCAGGGCTGAGGTCTCCTGCTCAGAACCATGCAGGGATCACTTTACTCCATTCACAGGGGACACCTCGCTTGGTGGAAGACCATAACCAGCACCGTTGCCATGGCACTGGGGGCAAAAGGGCCACCAGCATCCCCAGCATCATCCTGTACCTGGAGCCCCAGTTCCAGCGCCACATTGAGCAGTGTTGTGTCAGAGTTGCTGTCGGCTGGTGTGGCAATCTTGAATGCATCTTGAGCCAGCTTGAAGATCAAGGAGGAGGAGTGGATGTTTTTCTGGATGGCCTCCAGCACTGTGCGTAGGCGCAGCATGTCCCCTGGGAGCAACCAAGAATGTTCAGATGTCTCAGGTATCCCCCCACCTTGCCCTGGAGTCCCATCTCTTGCTTGCACCACGTGGTGAACAGTCCCTTCACCACAGCCAGCTCCTCTGGACACACACACAGAGGGACAGACAGCAGTGCTGGGTCAGGCCCTGCAGTCCAGTAATCTAAAATGGAGCACCCTCCCCAGGAAGGAATACATACTACAGCAAGTGTCCTCACTCAAGTTCATCCTCACAGAGAAAGGACAAACAATCCTGAGTGATCCCAGACACGTCCTGTCTTTAGCAGACATCTCCAGGCACCTGGATGTTCCATCCTGGCCTCAAGTTTGACAGCTGTACAGCAGCTTCTTCCCAGAAAAGGAGGGGTTTGGGGAGATGCCTAGTACTGAATGGCTGCAGAAACATCAGGATGTTCATCCAGGAACATTAGGAAGAAGAGGAAAAGCTGTTTGCTGCACACACACAGTCTTGCCCAGCAAGTCCCCTCTGCAAGGTTGGGCTGGGGTCACCCAGACTTGCTGCACCTTGGTCCTCCACATCCCAGGTCAGGCACACAGCACTCACAACTGAGACAGGCTGAGTTATCCCCAAAGAAGAGGGCTCGTGGCACAATACCCAGTGGTGCTATGGGTCTCCTGCTACAGGAAGTTGTGGGTGCTAGGATATATGATGGCACCAGGAGATGGGGCAGGATCTTGGAAGAGGGATACACCAAGGCATATTAATACCATGATCCTACACCTAGCTTGGGAAATCCTTCTATCAGTCCCCGTGGGACACAGTGTGGGGAGTGGGACCTTTGGAGTGTGTGCAGATCAGAGGTGCCAACACATCACATTAGCTTCCAGTTTTATTTCTACTTCTAGTCATAGAGTGAGCAGATGAACCTCATGCAAAGACAACCAAATCATGCACAGCAGTGTGAAAAACCCAGTGCTGCACCTGGACACATGGAGACATCTCGGGTGACTCATAGCTAAAGATATCACCTGCCACCCACCACAGTCACTTGCACTGCCACCAAAATCCATGCCTCCCTAAAATGGCTCGTGGGGGCGTGGGCAAGAGAGGCTGCAGGATCACATTGGGACATGCTGCAGCAGGGGAACACCTGAGGAAGGGGACAGTGGGAAAAACAAATGCAATCCAACATCCCCAGCATAATAACCTCATCCCATAAGGCACTGGAAGGGAGAAAAACGACCTACAGGATAAGCCAAGTACCAGCTCTTCATCTGGGCACTGCAAATTGGGCAGAACACCATCAGCCCTGGTAAAACAGCCTAGAGGAGGAGGCTGGAAGAAGAGAAGAGGCTTCCAAGGCAGGAAGGCTGGAGCTTTCTGACAGCTCATTTCCCTTCCCTCTTGCTGGGAAAGAAAAACATTCCCTGTCAGGCTGGCAGCACCAGGATATCAGAGGGCAGTGGTAACTGCTTGGCTCACTGACCCTTGTGGGACACAAGACTCTTGCCATCCTGCTGGGGTTGGTTTCTTGTCAGGGGGGTCTTTAATGAAAAGCCTGTGCTTGCCTTCCTAATAGTGCCTGGGCAGGAATCGAAGAGGCCCAAGAGACCAGTGAGGTGTTTCACGAGCCCCTTGCAGCTGGGACCAACCCAGCACTGTTGATCCCATCTTTCACAAAAGCCACTTGTGGTTTGGTGCACAGGGAGGTCTTCTCCCTCCAACAGCCTGTGCAGGATCATTACCACAGGGTGGAAGAGACAAAGCAGAGGTGAAAGGATAAACAGCTTCAAACTAAACCATGGCATGACCCCATGACATGCCTGGCAGGGATTGCTGGTCTGGCAACTGGAGGTGCTGCAGGGTAGGCATGCTCTTGCATCACCTGGGCACTATCCAGACCTGCAGCACTGTGGCTGCAAGGCCTGTCTGTACCTCACTGGAAATTTCCATCCTGCCCTGCTGGACCATAAGACCTTTGGGACAAGAATCCCAGAAACTCCAGATTCTCAAGGCTCATCCTGCCCTGCCCACAGCAGGCTGCCAGTGGGGCACCCAGCCAGTCTCCACCAGTGCCAGCAGAAGCAAGAGCTCCCTCCTTTCTCCAGAAAAAACTCTTCAATGCTCTTGTCCATCATCCCATCAACCCTGCCCCAGAACTGTCCTGCCACCAACCTTTGGCTGCCGTGAGCATGGTGGAGGCCAGCTCACACTGCTGTGACTCCAGGTGCCCCAGGGTGAACCAGCGTGGGTACCTGCTGGGGACCACCGAGACCAGGTGGTGAGGGTGAGTCACATCGCCGGATGGTGCCGTGGTCTCCAGGACAGGCAACCTGAAGGGCAAGCAGGAGGAGGAAACATCAGAGCCCAGCCCCAGCTTCACCTCCTCTCCCTGAGGTGCTGCCAAGGCGAGGCAGGGGCTGCCTGCAGGCAGCTGCCTGCAGCAATGCCTTTGAACACATCCTGCTGCTGTGCACGTGTGGGGCTCCCGAGGCTGTGTGCTCAACACATGGGCACAGGGATCAATCTGAGACTGACTTGAAAGGGGGGAGCAAGATTCGTGGAGTGATTTATAAACTTGTAAGGAAAAGCACAGACCTCAGAGAAAAAAAAAAAGGAAGAAAAAAAGTAAAATCCCTCCTCTCCTCCCGCTCCTTTCATGTCAAAGCACCCGGCAGAACTCCTGACTGTATCATCTGGTTCTTCTTAAAATGCTTGGTTATGATCAGAAGCAGCAGCATATTTCCCCAGGGCCTCTGCTGCCAGGTTAGGTTGCCTGTTTTTGTGGGCACATCCAAAAGCCTGGAAAACCTGTGGGAGAATCAAGCCTAAAGAAGGAGAGCAGGAGCCTCAAGTCACCAGCCGTGGTGACAAATCCTAAACCCCTGAGTTGGTGCTGGTCTTGCTATCTTGATGGTTAGTTATGCAGGAGGGAAACTGCACCCTGGACATGAAGAGCATCCAAGTGTCTCTGCTACCCTCACTGGCAGGCATGAGGTAACCACAGGGCATCAGAAGTCCAACCTTTCCAGGCCTGGACATAGATATTCTAACACAGCAAGTCCTAGCTAGGAGCAGGGGATGGGCACTAACAGACGGCATCCCTAGGGCCAGGGGTCTCAGGTCTGGCTGGACATGGTGCCTCTGCACACCACAGAGGTCCTTTGCTGTTCATTAGGGCTGGCCATCCTCCTGAGCAGCTCTTCCCGGGACAGGGGGATTCCAAACTTCTCCCCAATACTGGGTAGAGATCACCCATTTATTTAACTGTGGAAATGCTGCAAAAAAGGTGGTGCTCTGGCCAGGACTTTTAATGGTGGTAGAAGAGAGCACTGGGATACTCTGGAGTTGACAGTCCTCCAAGCATTGACTTGTTTAGGAAATGCCAGCCTTTCCAAGACCCATCCAGTCTCTGTCAAAACAGTGCAATACACGGGCTGATGTCTGAAGTGTGTCATGGATTGAGGAAGGAGATAGGGCCGCTCTCAGCATCAGCCGTTTCCCAGTCTCAGAGACAGAAATGGGTTTTAATGGACAACAGAGTGCAACTGTGTTCTCCACCTGGCTCTGTGACACCCTGGAGCCCGGGGCAAACCATCCGCCCATCTGTGCCAGGATAACAGCCCTTCTTGGCTGGGGAGGGCTGCAGGGTGCCCTATGCCTGGCAGACAGAAGGCAGATGACAGCTCTGTGTGTGCCTGGGACCTGCTCTGGCAGAGGATGCCTGTCAGAGGGACAGGCAGGTGGTGGTCCTGGAGCAAGGGGCTGGGTAGAGGGCTGGGCCAGCAGACATTATTGGACTCATGCAAATCTGTATGGATGGAGTTTATAAACCAGAAATCACCCAAATGGAGAGAAGGAACCTCTTTGCACTGCTGCTGTGCCCAGTGGCCCTACACACTGAAAAAGATCCCGTGGATGGCAAACTCCAAGCCTGTCTCCACTCCCATCCCTGCTCTAAAGCTGAAAAGCATCCCAGCTTCCCAGCAAGCATAGGAGTGAGGCAAAAAGGGGAGCAGAGAGAGAATTAAACATGCACCAACCTCATGGCCCGCAAAGCCAGCTTGTATGCCAGGTCAGCATCGTGGGGCAGCAGGGCAGAGAACAGGTATTTGGCAAAGGTGTGCATGGGGACGCTCTCTCGGTGGATGACTTCTCCCAAGCCGCTGAAGGGACCACCTAGGCAGAAGCAGAGCCCATCAGCCATAATCAGCACACCAGGATCTCTAGCTGGGGTTTGCAATACCCCAAAGCTTTGAGCATCTGCTGTTCAGCTCCCTGACGTGTTTCTCAAGTTGGATCCAGGGATGCTCCTTCCTTTTTTAAAAGATAAGAAACTGAAGCCACGTGCTTAGCACCCTTCTCCATATTGCCTCTTAGGTATTTTAGGATTTTCTAGGGATGTCAACAAACCCTTGCTTTGCCAGGTGATGGGGCAGAGCAGCTGTCCCACAGGCTCTGCACCACATCCTGAGAGGAAGAAGCACGATGGGCATAAATTTTGAAAAGGGCACCTCACAGACAGTTGCCAATACTCAGCTAAGATGCAAACGTCAGCTAGAAGAGCCAAGTCCCCACCTTCTAGCAGCAAGATGCACTGCTTCCGCAGGGTCTGCACCAGCACCGGGTCCAGCTCCAGGTCCTGCAGCCGGGCAATGATCTGCTCCTCATTGCGGCACACCTTGTCCTGGGCATAGAGACCTTCAGGCATCACTCTCTGCTGACCCATCCCCATCAGGGCCACCTCTAAGGCCAGGGACAGGTAGGACTCGTCACCGTCTTGGCTGCCAGTCACAACGGGCACATGTTGATACACTGGTGGTTTGGAGTCCCCAGTGTCTGAAAGGAGGGAGAGGAGGTGCAGTGGGGTTAAAAGAGTCTTCCCAGACAGCAGATTCATTGCAGAGAAAAATCTCACTTCAGAAGCAAGACCCACACTTCCCTTCCTGCCTGCTTTTAGTTACCCAGAAATGACAGATGAAAGCTCCCTGAGGGAGACATGGGCTTCTCCCTCCCTTCCTGCTCTCACTAGGAGATGCAGGAGACCCAAGACATGTGCAACAGGATGCACAGCCAATACCAGAGCCTTCCCATGGACCTGCTCTGCTCTGGCTGCAAACCCTCGGGCTGAGAAAACTCTACTTTCAACTCACTATCTTCCTTGTCTGCACTGCAGCTCTGCCCTGGTGCTCCTGCCAAGGCAGAGAGGGATGACTCAAGAGTCCAGGTGTCCATAGCCCCAGATCTGCACCCACCTCAGCCACAGCCACCAGGAATGGATCCAGAAGGAGCACTTGGTACCTGAAATTTCAAGGCAATTTTCCTCTTCTAATCTACAAGCTTCCGTCAGGGTGAGAAAGAGGCAGCCTATGGGGTTCAGAGGGTGGCCTACCCAGCCCTCCAGGTTGGTGATGGTTGTTGCTCCTCGTTGCAGCAGCTCTGGACAAAATAGAATAGGATGATGTTAAAAGTAAGGAATTTAAAGACAAGTTCTGCATACAGAGAAGCTTCTGAGACCAGAGGACTTTTCTTATCTCACAGCTTGGGTGACCTCACAGGGACCTCTAGGGCCAGCTCTGGCACGGTAGGTAGCTCACAAGGGCAAGGAGCAGCAAGGAGCAGCCACCCTGCACAGACAACTGAGGGAGCAGCTGTCAAAATAGTGTCCCTAAGGCCACATAAGATACAGCAACTCATTCTCTTTACCAAGAGGACATGAGGGTCTGCAGAATCCCAAAGATAAGATCTACAATGTCAGACCTGCAGCTCGTGGACTGATTTGCAGTGGTAGCCTGAATGTTTTGGAAACACAAGCAGAAATCTCTCCTGAGATGACAGACTTCCAGTGATTCTTAGAAATTCCATCTTTTGGTGATCTCAAGCTGGCTGAGCTGGCAAGGACCAGGAGTCGCTGACCTTCAGCAGCACTGCAGTAACTGACCCTGGATCCTTGCCAATTGCAACTGCAAAAGGAGGAACACTGGGCTTGTCTCCTGGTACTTTTACTTGGGAAATCCAAGGTGGAAGTAGCACACACAGACAGTTACTGCTGCTCTGCAGTCAGGCAGCTCCTCTTTAATGTGGGCAGCACTTGCCTGGCCAACCCTTACAGACAACCAGACACAGCAACAGTGGGAACAAGAACATCCCTACTGCAGCAGCCTGAACCCAATATGTGCGTAGCTCTGTCCTTAGCATGTGGGTATCAACTCAGCCTGACTCAAGCAACTCAGTTTGTCTTTCTAGGACGTGAGTAGTCCCCTGCAGTGCTGCCCATCCTCCACCTCTGCCATGGGGCACCACAACTCTAACAGAATCACAGAATCGCTGGGTTGGAAGAGACCTTCAAGATCATTGAGTCCAAACCATGTCCTAATACCTCAACTAAACCATGGCACCAAGTGCCACATCCAATCTTTTTTTAAACACATCCAGGGATGGTCACTCCACCACCTCCCCAGGCAGACCATTCCAGTACTTTATCGCTCTTTCTCCAAATATCCAACCTATATTTCCCTTGGTGCAGCTTGAGACTCATTAAGCTTGTGTCCTCTCATTCTTGTCTTGTTCTGTCAGCTGCTGCCTAGAGAAAGAGACCAACCCCCACCTGACTACAACCACCTTTCAGGAAGTTGTAGAGAGTGATAAGGTCACCTCCTAGTCTCCTTTTCTCCAGGCTAAACAACCCCAGCTCCCTCAGTCATCTAAACATCCTTCCTAAACTGAGGGGCCCAGAACTGGACACAGCACTCCAGGTGTGGCCTCACTGGGGCCCTGTATAGGGGAAAAATGATCTTGCTCCTGCTGGCCACACTATGCCTGATACAGGCCAGGATGCTGCTGGCCTTCTTGCCACCAGGGCACACTGCTGGCTCACGTCCACCCAGCTGTCACCAGCACCCCCAGGTCCCTTTCCACCTGGGCACTGTCCAGCCATACTGTCCCCTGCCTATAGCATTGCAGGGGGTTATTGTGGCCAAAATGCAGGACTCAGCACTTGGACTTATTAAGCATCATCCCACTGGACTCTGCCCATCCATCCAACCATTCCAGGTCTCTCTGCAGAGCCCTCCTACCTTCCAACAGATCAACACATGCTCCCAGCTTAGTGTTGTCCACAAATTTACTAATAAAGACTCAATACCCTCATCTATGTCATCAATAAAATACTGAACAGACCTGGCCCCAGCACAGACCCCTGAGGAACACCACTGGTCACTGGCCCCCAGCTGGACGCAGCACCATTCACCACCACTCTCTGGGCCCGGCCATCCAGCCAGTTCCTAACCCAGCACAGAGTGCTCCAGTCCAAGTCCTGGGCTGACAGATTTTCCAGGGGTGTTCTGTGGGAGACAGTGTCAGAGGCCTTGCTGAAGCCCAAACAGAAAACATCCACAGCTTTTCCTGCACCCACCAGGTGGGTCACCTGGTCATAAAAGGAGATCAGGTTGGTCAAACATGACCCTACCCCTCCTAAACCCACGCTTGCTGGGTCTAATACCCTGGCCATCCTGTAAGTGATGACACTCAGTATAAACTGCTCCATTACCTTGCTGGGTACTGAGGTCAGGCTGACTGGCCTATCATCACCAGGATTCTCCTTCCCACCCTTTTTGTGAATGGGAGTCACATTGGCCAGCTCCCAGTCATCTGGAACCTCACCAGTGAGCCAGGACTATTGGTAAATGATGGAGAGTGGCTTTGCAAGCTCATCTGCCAGTTCCCTCATCACCCTGGGATGGATCCCATCTGCTCCCATAGATTTATAAACATCCAGGCGGCTCAGCAGTTCTCTGACTGCCTCCTCCTGGATAACAGGGGGACCATTCTTCTCCCTGCCACCATCTACCAACCCAGGAGGACAGCTGTCCTGAGGACAAGCCATCTTCCCACTGAAGACTGAGGCAAAGAAGGCATTAAGCACTTCCACCTTCTCCCCATCTGCAGTCACTGAGTTCCCTCCCACATCCAGTAGAGAACAACGGCTGGTCTTACCCTTCCTTTTGCCATTAATACATTTGTAAAAACATTTTTTATTATCCTTTACAAAAGCTGCCAGATCAAGTTTGAACTGAGCTTTGGCCTCTCTTAACTTTTTCCTACATGCTCTAGCAACACCCTTAAACAATTCCTGAGAGACCTGACCTTCCTTCCAAAGATGATATATCCTCTTTTTATTCCTAAGCTCCTTCAAAACTTTGTTGCCAATCCAGGCTGGATGTTTGCCTCATCAAGGCAGAAAAGACCTTTCCAACCAACTGAGACACCCTGGCCAGACATGACAAGACACATCTCACGTTGCTCAACTCATACCTTTCTTCTGATGCTTATATATTTCCAGCTGCCTTTGTTGCTGCAGTCGCAGAGTGTTGATTATGGCAACAGTTAGTCGGAGAGCTTCTCTGGGATAACCATGGGAGCGCAGCGCATCCACCCGAGCACAGGCTGTGGGGACGTGTTCTGCAAGGCAAGAAACAGGGGGCACGGCTGAACCAGAGAAGAACAGGCATTGACAGGATGGTACTCATGGGGCATCCTCTATTCATGTTCCCCATACCTGAGCTGAACTCCTGCTTCCTGTCTTGAATTCATCCCTTTCTCCCTGCTCCTGGAAAGGATGCCTATCAGGAATACTAGTGGGACTCCTGCCACATTCAACCCACAGCAGCCACGTCAATACCTAAATCCCCACCTCCGCAAAGCTTATCTAATGGAAGCATTTCCAATGCACCATTGCTGCAATATGACAGCTCCAACACAGGCTGTTACAACCCTGCTGCTCCTTTCTCCTAAAATCTGCATGGCTCGTCTGGATTTGCTCTCATGGCACAGGTGATGATACACAGGGTGAGGCTGTGCTCCAGCACTGTGCTGGGGGCACTGGCAGACTTGGGGTGATGCTTTGAACTGACTCCTTAACACCTTCATGGAGTGAGCTCTGCAGACATCCTGTCTCTTCTGCAGTTCTCCTACCTGGTGTTTTATTATTAGGAACAGTTGCATGAAACCCCCTCCCAAGACTCACAGTTGCTTAGGAATTCATCTGCTCCTGCTGCTTATTGCTCACCTGAAATCACAAGCAACTGTGGAGAGGATTATGACTGAGTGAGAAATTAGCAGGAGCAGATGACATGACATGGTGCATAACAAGCAGCAAAAATCCCATTTTCCTTCAAAATGTCCTACCAAGGGGAGAAAAAAAAACCAGGCAAACACAGACAATCTGAAGTTATCATAGAGGGATAATTTCTATTCCTGGAAGAGTTCAGAAAGCTCTGAAAATGCAGACAACCACCTCCACAAATGGGGTATCCACATCCCAAAGGTCACCCACAAGGAATACATGAGGAAGAGATTTCAGAACAAACACATCTGTAAAAGAGCTTCTTGTTGCTCCCTCTGTTCATTTGCTAAATGGATGAAATATTCATCTTCTCACTGAATTCATCACTGGAAGTTGCTGACAAATCAGCCTCCTCTCCCAGCACTGAGACCCTGAAGAGGTGCCAAGAAAGCAAAAGCGCAAAATCCAAAAATCATGGCAAATATATCAGAAAAATAACATGCACCAACCAGCTGGGGAAAAGGGCTCACCAGTACCCAGATTAGGCTCAGGACAGGGAAACCACCACATCCCTTCTAGATGGAGTCCATGGATGCACTAACCTACCACTGCTGCCTGTGGTTGTGTGGGAAAGAGAACTCCTGCCTGAAGCTGCCTAAAATTCTTCCCAGAGCAGAAATATCCTCTCCTGTCTCCAACTAAGGTGTACCAACAGCCTAACATATGGGCCCTTCCTATCTCCTGGCATTAACAGCAATTTAGTGCCTGCCACTCCAGAAACTTCATCTCTAGTCAACTTTAAATATTCCTTTTCCTGGTGGCAGACCCCAGCTTCTGGAGTGGACAACAGTGCAGTGGTGGTCTTTGCCCTGTTCTGTGTTCATATATTCAATTCTTGGGCTGTAGGGGATAAGTAATTCCCCTTCCTGCAGTTGGGTGGGGACTTGTATCTCCCATTTTGGGGTCTGTCTTACGGCTGACAGCCACACCAGGCTCCCACCCAAGCCCTTCATGTCGCTGGTTCTCATCCCAGAAAAGGAGCTGTCAAGCATCCACAGATCTGCCCAGGGTCATGACTTTGCAAGAGAGAACTTGTGTGGCTTGAGGTACTTGGGCTAAAAGTCTACAACACAGGAGGCCTCTGGACTTGCCTAGCCAAGTATACCTTAAACTCCCACGAGGCTTAACTGGACTGACTGTTAATTGCCTTTAAGGGAAGACTAACAAGAAGGTGAGAGCAGGAAACAGAAAACCCAGAGGATACAGCTGTGCTTTGCAGTCAATTTTCAAGAGACTAAGTGTCCAGACCCCCTGTACTGGAAACAGTGAGAGGTTGCTCTGGTGACAACTAAACACTGGCAGGATGAAAAGAGACACTATGTGCTTGGTCCAAACTACCCAAGACAAGCCCAGACTGTAAACATCTGGAGATTGCTCTAAGGACTATGACTTGGGTGTGGGTAGGCATTGAATTCTTCCGCTCCCCCCACTCCTCAGGCTAAGCGCCAGGGTAGCAATTTCAGTCTAGGATGCAGAAACTCGCAAGGACCCAGGACAGCCTCAGGTCACTCCTCTCCACGAGCAACCCTACCCACACAGGTCATGAGGGGCTGCTGGTTTGGATGCTCACCCAGCCACAGTGGCTGTCCCTGGGAGTTGAAGAGAAGGCTCTCGCCCTCGCGCTGGTAGGAGGGGGACACGTAGAAGTCACTGCTGATGATGCGCTGCAGGTGGCTGTCCTGCCAGTGGAGGTCACAGCCCTCGATCGCCCGGGTGAACACGGTTCGTCTGGGCCTGGCCAGTGAGTCTGCAAAGAGAAAAACCATCAGTGCCCTGGTGGAGCAGGGGCAGCCTGTTCCTCCTGCAAGACATGACCTCTCTGGGCAGAGCTCTGCCTTTACAATGAGAGCAAAACCTGGTCTCCAAGATGGACATGGGCTCTAGCTTTGGATACCCCTACTGCCTACCCCATCTCTGAGGGAGGCTAATGTCTCCTCAGACAGCATTGCTAAGTAACTTGCTAGAATAGCTGACTTGGTCAAAGAGGTGAGAAAAGAGGAAGGGACCACCCACTCGTTTGTTTTATGACCACAATCCACTGTCACACACAAGGCTGACGCCTTGAAACCTGGCAGTGCGCTCCCTCCCCTGTGACACTGAGCATGCAGGCAGCTGCCCCGGGGTCAGGACTGGGCTTCCTCAGCAGTACTGCCCTGCAAACACCATGAGCTCTCCTCCTCTGCTCCAACACAAAGTCTCAGCTTCACTGAACTGCAGCTTCTTAGATCAGCAGCACTTGAAGCCATGAAGGGAAGCACACAATTGTGTCTCATCTGCCCACGGGTGTTGGGGGGGAACAATCACCCTCCAGCAACCTCTGTGGGCTGCGAGAGAGGGCTGGAAGGGAGGAGACAGCATCGTCTGAAACCCCACTGCTGCCCTGCACCAGATATCTGCACTCCTCTTCAGAGCTGCTCTGTAACTTCATGGGCATTTCTGAAGCTACTAAATGCTGGATTAGCATTTCACCCCATCCAGACTGATCAAGACAAGTGGTTTGCTATGAGGAAAAAACCTGTCCGGAGCAATGCCACTATCACTCCAGCCACACTGGATCATGAAGGCCAAACACAGCTAGCAGGCTGCAAAACTGGAAGCCCCAAAGGGGGTGCAACGCTCCGTGTTAGGTCCTGCAACCCACAAGAGGGGCCGAGTTAAATGCATTCAAGGGTGGAAAACAAAAGGCACTGTTCAAAGCTGATCCAGGGAGGCTGGGTAAACATGCTCCGGAAACGATGGCAACAAGCAATTAGCCGGAATGCTGCAGGCACCCTGAGGTGGAGAGAAATTAAACAGGTGTTTGTATGTTGAGAACCAAGCCTGCTCACTTTACCAGGAAGGATTTCAAGAATCAGCTGTTCTTCAGTAATAAAAGAGGCTGTCAACAATCTGGAGCAGTATTTGCATATGCACAAACATAAACCCCAGGACACCTCCAGGATCTGTGCTGCTTTCAGTCCACTTCTTGGGAGAGGCAGTAGCACAGCAAGAAAGGGACATCCCTGGCATGTGCCTTGGGAACTCCCTGCAGGTCTAAAAAAAGTGACCTTTCAACCCTAGCAACCTTCCCCAAATGCCAGAGCAAATCCTTGGGAGAGCTGGAAACACCACAGGGGTAGTACTGGGGCTGGTGCAAGACATGGAGCAAGGCCAGGTTTAAATTAAGCTGCTCCCTGAGGAAGAGCATAGGGCCATGCAATCCTGGCTACTGCTGGGGTGGTTGGCAGGACAGTCACGCTCCCAAACTGCTGCTGAGGGACTAATCCCACCCAGAAGAATGAAGTTCCCCCTTCGGCAGGGCTACTGTCCCCCTCTCCTCCACCCACTTTGGCCACACATAACACACCGAAGAACAATCCCAGTGCAGCAGACAGAGGCATGTGAAGAGCAATAACTTTCAATTAATGTCTACTTCAGGCAAAAGGAAGAAGAAAGAGTGCTTAAGTTTAAAGGGATCAAATGCTTTGTCAGCGGTTGAGAAACTATTTTAGCACTAAGGAGCAACCCCTTAACTACACTGCTCTGTCTGTGCTCCGAACTTGAACTGTGTTAACATTCCTGGCTAATGACTTCCCCACCACCTGAGTCACTGCCTTTAAGTGAGGCTTAAGGGCTGGGAAATGGGCTCTGCACCATCTCCAGCTCCTCACTTTCACATTACAGCCAGGACTTCTGAGCTCAGCTCAGCTCAGCTCTGTTGCAAGCAGCACTGTTTTCCTGTATTACCCCATGCCCAAACGTGCACAGACTGCAGGGGTCTAAACTGCCCCAAAGTTAAATTGCTTTAAAAGTCTCTAAACTCAAAACACCAGCAATTCTACCCTGTAGCAAAGAAGCAAACATTTATATATAAAACCAGAGGCTGTGAAGACAAATATTTTGTATTCCTATGACTGGCAGAAATGTCACCAGCTGCTGAAGTGAGTTCTCTCAGCTTTGGGGTGAGTTTTGACTTGGACCCAACCCCTGTGGCTGTCAGCTGGATTTCCACTCCCTGCCCGGACTCACCTTGGCTGTGACCGGAGCTCTGCGTAAGCGCGTTAGTGATGTTGGGAAGCTCGTTACCATAATTGCCATCTTCCAGGGGACAGACGTCCATCTCGCCCCACTTGCGCAGCTGCCGGAGCCAGCAGGATTTCTCTTCCAGCTTGCAGTGCGGGTTTAACACCACACACACCCACAGCGCCCCTAAACAAAGCCAAGAAATCACGGAGGTGCCACCGCCATGTGTGCAGGGCAAAGCTCTCCGGCCGCCTTGCTCGCCTTGAGAGCCTGAAAGGTTCCATCGAGGTTTGTAAACTCATTTCAGCATAATGCATGGACCCAGGGGGGGGATTTACACAGCTTTTAAATAAGAAGGAAATTAACTCTATCCCAGCTGAAGCCAGGACAAAGTAAAACTCCTCCATAATGAAGCTAAATTATAATCTCATGAGATGGGGGACAGTGAGGAGGAGGGAAGGAGAGAGCGGCTGTGTATGAATTTGTGAGTGCTTCTGTCTGCCAGGACAAATCTAGTGTTTGAACTACACATCAAAGCATGCTTAAAAACACCCTGGCAAGCTGCAGAGTCTGTATCTCCAAAGACTAACCTGATTCTGATCCTACCCACGTTCCAAGCGCTTTAAAACCCTCTCTGAATGCTATTTCATCTGCCATTGTTCTTCAGGCCATTTGCATTCAACTATTTAAAAAGGAGATTTGGTGTATTTTCTTTCTATTTTTTTTTTCTTTTTTAAACCCTAGTAGCCCCCAGCCTGCAGAGGAACCAGCAGAGGAACCTGGAGCTTGGCTTGATGTCTTGCAGGCAAGAGCCCTCCCTGACAGGGGTAATTTGGATCCCACAAGCCAAATTGCTCACCCGTAGGACACCCACGCTGACACCCTCTGGGTCAACCATGGGACCTCCCATGATGCTGATGATGCTGTCTGCTGTGCAAGAGGCAAAACCAGGACCAAGGACATCTGTCATCATTAAGATCCAGCTCATCCTTTGATAAAACAGGGCTGATGCTGGTGCTGCTAACTGAGCCTTGCAGACTATTCCGGGTCACTCACTGCTAGGATAAGGGCTACAGCAACCTAAGTAAGTGCAAACCTGTGAATTCTTCTCTAGCTAATTTCATTTCTACCCAAATTTCCCTGCAAGGCTGCCAGGATGCAGCATGTCCCCTCCCTTGTGCTTCCCTGCAGGGTGGGATGTCTGTGGGCTGCCACAGATGCAATGTGCGTTATCCCCAGGGATCCCCTCGGGCTGAGCAGTTCCTGCTGCTCCTCCCTCTGCCCATGTCAAATCCTGTCACACACATGGGACAGCTCATCTTCCTGCAGAAACACCTTCCCTGCCTCTCCTCCATGGGCTCAGCAGAGACCTGGAGCACCTTCCTTCTTCCTGCCCAGCCTACTGCTGTCCCTCACCTCCCCATCGCTCCCAGAGCCAAAGTTCCCATCCCAAAGTGACAGCCAGTGGCACGACAACATCACCCAACATGCCTCCACTGCACAAGGAGATTCCTCCACAAGCCCAAACCACCTCCCTCACTGGCTGTGTTCTGAGCAGCAGCTCCCCAGCTGCACAGCCCTGCCATTGAGCCAAACAGCCCCAAGCGAGGCTGCAGATCTGACAGGAGCCAGAGCAGCCAGGCCCCTCTGCCAGACAACACGAGGCAAACTCAGGCTGGGCAGCAATGTCCCGTCCCTGGCTCCGCTCCGGTGCCTCTCCACTCCTCTGCATTACAGCTGAGCTTTGGTGGTGCTTTTGGGGGGTGCACGTCCCCAGATCAATCCTTTGCCAGTTGGAACTCGTAGACTTGTCTGGTTCAAAACATTAGTAAGGCTTTGGAGGCTGTGCATGTCTGGCTCCTTGGAGCCACCTGGCTTGGCAGGAGAGACATCACCGCATCACAACGCAGATGGTGGCAGCAGCATCACATCCAGGAATGGGCACGGGAAAAGCAACTGCAGGCACGAGCATCAGCAAATGTCCAAAGCAGCCCTTGCCCAGTTCAGCTCAATCTCTGCTCCCAGGAAACCCCACCAACACCTCACTTCTTTCTGATGAACGGAGGGATTAAGGTTTTTGAGCTGAAACATCAGCAATTAATTAACGTGTAAAAGAGGTACCTCCTTAGGGGCCATCAGCTCCAGAAAATGAGTCTTCCTTAAGGAAGGGGATATAGGAACTTCCCACCTCCTCGGGTGGCCATGAGAAAAAACCTGCACTCAACTCTGGGTGTTGGGTATTCCCTTCCCATCAGTGCTCCTGCCTGTTGTCATTGCTCTTCTTCGCCCACTTTGGGGCTGCTTGTGTGAAAAGCAGCCTCGGGCAGTTTCAACTCACGCCTCTGAGGGTGCACACAGCTTGGCTGACAGGCAGTAACAAGGCCTGGTGCTCCAGCTTCACCGCCCCCAGGAATGGGATGCACCCGCTGGATTTTTGGCTCCTACAGCTCTGCTAATATGCGTTCCTTGGAAGCCTCATGACTTTGCTGCCTATTTTTGAGAGCCCTCTGAGGCATCCTTTGTATGCCAAAACATTATGCCCCTGGGCTCTCCTGCAGAAAGAACAATGTGGTGGGGAGGTGGGAAGCAGGAGGGAAGTGAGATTTGCATCTGTCTCCGTCATGATAATTATCTGGGAGATATAATAGAGTGGTTTTCTGAGCCCTGTGGTCAAGTGACATCAGCTGACAGCACAAGTGACTCCTGTCCTGAGCCGAAATGCCACACCAGGTCAGACTCCATGTCTCTTCACATGCTGCAGAAACCTTCATCTGAACTTTCTGATAGCAGGAGGTTAAGTGGGGAACAAAGCGGCAGATCACGATTAAGCTAAGCCTCTAAACAAAAATGCTTTTTGATGACGGGGCTGGGTGCAGGGACAGGGGGGTCAGAGCCTTCCCAGCCCAGTGGTCCTGGCTGCTGGCCCCAGAGAACACAGGCACTCCGATCCCGCGCCCAAGTTTCCCAACCATCAAAGAAATTCTCCTGTTTCCCACAGGGTCGCTCCCTGGCTTAATCTACTGAAATTCCCCACTGTAAACAAGTGGCCGAGATAAATAAACCCGTCTCCAGGCAGATTAAGGTCAGGCTGCACTTCAGCTGGTTTTTCGTCTATTTTTTGTAATTAGGCTTTAATCGTAAGTACTAATGCGCCAGGGCAAATACTCCCACGCCGCTGAGCTCTCCATCCAGCAGGTCCTTCCTTTGGCTCCCCAGCAGACGGGGCAATAGAGATTCAGCTGGCAGCACATGCACAAGTGAGGGATCCCGTTTTCTTTTTTTTTTTTTTTTTTTTTTTTTTTTTTTTTGTAACTCTGAAATCCTGCAAAATCCTTTACATTTTCCCCAGCATAAATCCACAATCTTCTTTAAGGCTGATCTTCTTCCAATCCCACGCAAGTCTGTGATGGAGTCTTTGCTAAAATCGATGATTAATTATTAAACACGTGCCCAAAATAATTTCCAAAAGGCCCATTTTTTGCTTCTAAGCGGTGGAGGATTGTGCTCTGTGCCAGAGCTTCCCGTGGCAGCTGGCAACAGGCCCCTCATCCCTCTCTTCAGCAGTAATGGTAACACCAGCAGCTTTGGCACCCACAGGCAGTGGTATGTGGTGCTTCCACTGCCCTATGTGCCCCGGCTACTGTTACCCACCCAGGGATGGTTTAGGACACCTCTCTGCATTCCTGATGTTTGTTACTGGTGAACACCTCCAACTCAGAGCAGCTCTGGTCTCTCTGTGCCCCCACAGCTCCTTCACAGACATATTCTGCTCCTACAGTAAACACTGCCCAAGGCCAAATGCAAAAGGCTTCTGTAAAATGAGGGAATAATCCCTGCTTTGAGTACAGCCCACGCCCATCCTGGAGCTGCTTCTTGGAGCATCACCGTGTCCTCTACAGGAACTTCTCTTCAGCATGGAGGTGCCCAGACCCTCACGTGTGACATGCCTGCGGCAGGCGAGCTGCTCTGACGTGTGTTGGCTGGCACCACACTTCCCCTGCTGTCGTGTTGATCCAGCACTGGTAGGGTCCTGACATTGCCCAGCCACTTTGCCATCTGCCAACAGGGACGTGCTGCCACCTCCTCCCACTCCGCCGACCAAACCTGCGCCAACCTGGTCCTTGTACAGTTAAGCCAGGACCGAAACCCAACCATTCTCCCCTTGCCTGTGCAGGAAGGGAGGGAGGGCTCTCGTCTTGGATAGCAGCTTGGAAATCTGGCCAAATAATCTGTAATTTTAAGCAAATTGCTTCCTGCGTCCAGGCCTTCCCACACACCCATCCATTCATGTATCACCAATGTGTTTGCTTTCTTCCATGTGGAAATTCTGGCTTGGTGGACTTGGCCACCTCTCCAGGATCCTTGCATATCCAATTGTCTAGCTGCAGCATCCCAAAATCCTGGAAATATCTTCTTGGCAAGCAAGCACAGATGAGCTCTCCAGAGCTGGTGTGGTTATTTCCATCCAGGAAACTTCATACAGAAACAAGACATCCCACCCCTGCCCAGATCTTGTCTGCATAGTTTGGCCAGGTTTCCCAGTCTCATTTCTATTTGCATTTGTTGGGCACTTGGTAGGTGGGTATGTGATTCCCAGCTGCAGTCTCAGATGTTCCAGATCCCAGACCATCCTAATCCTTCTTCCAGCTCTACCACAACCCTTTGGTGCCAGTCCATCAGCCCATCAGCCCTTGCCCTTGCACAGTATCTCCAACCAGCAGGCTGCAGAGGAGCTCAAACTCACACATCAAGCTATGGCTCAAGTCAAACTATTCACCCAAGATCCCAGATGTCCAGGACAGCCCAGAACTGTAGGGTTAACATACAACCCTACTCCCCAAGCTCACGTCATCTAAATGTTTTATTCTAATGATATTACAGTGTCAGCCAGCTGAGCTGGTGTCTAAGGTGCTTAGCTAGAATTACCCAGAACTGCATTTCCCTCTCAACCAGGCTCTGTGCTGCCCATCCTGCCCCCCTCACCCTGGAAACGTGTACTACAGCAGGCAGAATCTGTTAGATGTGATGAGACTTGAGAACCTGCCTTTCCCTCTCCAGATAGTGTTTCCTCCAGGAACAGCACTTCCACATCCAGGCTACATCCAGCCCCTGGGGCTCACCAGCTCTGCATCCTCCCTCACAAAGGCAGCTCACCAAACACCAGCCTGCTGGGACCAGCAACACACTGCACACCCATCATCCTTGATCCCTTTGCAGGAGAGAGGCAGGTTTAAGGTTTTGAACCGTGTGGTTTGGGCCTGATCCAGCTCTCTCACAGTGATTCCCCAAAAGGGGATACAGTAAGGTCCTGGCACGTCTCAGGGTCTCTGCTCCCAAAAAATAGCCCCATTGGGCCTCTGTAATGATGTCCACTGGCCCAGGAGCCCACGTAACTCTGCTCCTCACTGCAAGGCAGTGACCCTTACCCAGCTCATCCCAGAGCTGCCGGCACTTCTCTGTTATGCCTGTCCCCTGCTGCCTCCAGAGGGAGAGCCGAGGATCAGCCATGAACTGCTCTGTTATCAACGTCAGCATCCTGGCCCCGTTGGAGTCCCTCATGCGCAGCATCTCCCGGACCTGGAAAGGACAAAGAGAGAGTCTTGGGTGACACAAACCAGGGTCCCTCAGAGGTGTTTAAGACATGTTCACCTGGCTGGCAACCCACAGCTCCCCCAGCCTGAGGGTCCAGACTGTAAATACATACAAACATACATACGTGTGTGTGTGTGTATGTGTGTGTGTGTGTGTGTGTGTGTGTGTGTGTGTGTGTGTGTGTGTAATGTGGAGTCACACATTATAACCCTCATGCAATGGCTGTGATGAGGCTGATTGGAGCCCAATTGAGTAGCAGTCACAGCCAGGCTGTGAAGGAGACAGATTAAGAACATGAAAGCAAAGCCCTTCTGCAAAGAAAGAAGAGCCTGTAGGTTGGTGAGATTTGTGGGTTATGGTCCTACCTTCCCATGGTCTTGGTAGGCTCTGCAGGGTTGGCTTTTTCCCCACTGTGCTGAAGGGGAGATGGGGGAATGCCCTTCCTTGCACAGGGATTACAGCACTCATGGGAGGAAGGGACCAGCTAGGACAGCAGGTGAGACAATCCAGGCCTGACCCAGAGCCTGGATTACAACCGCCTGCTCCGCGACAGGGTGAGGAGGCACTGGAGCAGAGATTCCCAGCTGTGATGGGCACCCTGCCAGGGCAGCCAGCGAGTGCCAACTACGTGACACGCTGAGCAGAGATGGGAGAGAGCAGCCAGCTCCTCACCTTGGCAAACATGGAGTTGAGCTGCTTCCCCGAGCCGTAGTACCCTCCCTGAGATAGGAACAGCTTCACTTGCTCTCGGACCTGCTCCTCGTCCAAGTGCCAGCAGTTCTCGTCATCGATGCTGGCTCCAGCAGTGGGGTCAGGAGCGCCTGAGAGGATGGGGGGAGAAGAGAGACAACCATGTTTATGGCATCAGGGTCAGCAGTCCCACTAGCAAGGAGTCGACCTACCTCTGTTTTATTAGGGACCCACCTTTACTTTATCAGCTCAGGTAACAGAAAACCAACTTGATTCCTCGGCAGTGAGCCCAACTGGCAGCACTGTGCTGTCCTAACACAGTGGTGGCAGCAGCCATCTGGAGGGATCCTGACCACAGGGCTAATGCTTGCATGGCCCCTCACCCTCTGTATCCCATGTGAAATGAGGCTGAGGAAGACCAGGGATCTGCCTTCCTCCAAAGCCCCAGGAGTGCAGGCAGCACAGCTGCAGAGCCCGGAGCACTCTGCAGCTCCAGGGATTGCCCAGTGTGCTCCTGCTCCTGCTCCACATCACCGGTTTGTTAAAGCATCAGTAAAGCTCCAATTCCTGCAAGCCCTTCCCCATGTCTGGAACAGTCTAACAGAGGTACTACTGCACTTGGGCTCCAGAGCCCTGGGTTAAACACCTGGTCCTGCCCCTCACTTGCTTTAGGACAGGGGACAAGTCCCTGGGCATCAGTGTACCTGCCCGAGAGAGACCCCCCATGGGAAAGAACAAAGGATCAATAATCCTTCAAAAAGCAAACTGTGACCAGAGCAGGGCCTTTGGCAGACACACATATGCGTTCACAGGCTGCTATTCTTCCAGAGAACAAAAGAAAGAAAGAAAACCCACGATTGATTTAAACAAGTTGGACCAAATTTCCTTGCCTTGCCCCTTTTGATTCCTATTTTCCCACCCAAGCACTAACCTATGTCCCAGCCATGGATTCCAGGGCTCACAGCAGCACAACTCCAGTAAGCAGCCAAGAGTACAAAATGGAACAGAAACTCGGATTTTTAGCTGTCTGCTTTTGGCTCCTGCTCTACAGAAACTCCTTAGGGAAAACCAGTACCAAGGAGGGACTGCTGCAGCTGGAGGATGCTCCATTCCACATTGGCCTGCTTCTCCTAGCTCCCTCTCAAGAGAGGAAGAGGGTCAGCACAGGAAGAGCAAGGTGCTGCATGAGAAGCCATGGGATGCTGTAGCTGACACATTCCCAATTAAATCTTCATGACGTCTTTTCCAAAATTGGGATCTGGCCAGGGAGCAGACATCACCTTCCCACAAAGCCAGCCTGGGATGCTGTGCCTTGTGTGTTGCTGGGCTAGGAGCTCAAATACAATTAATGAAAATTGTGCTCCAGGATGCCTGTTCAGCAGGGCAAGTATCTCTTCCTGGCTTGTAAGCTAGACAACATCAACCTCAGGGGTTCTGCTCCTCCAGCAAAGGCTGAGAACACTCCTGACCCGCTAAGATACAGTTATTTGTATTTTATGTCCTTTACAAAATTACTTTAATTTCTGCTAACAGTCACTGCCTGAGAGAAGTTCCAGCAAGCTCTAGGCATGCTGAAGGGACAGGATGCTGCTGCTCCCTCTGCAGAATAATTTACAGTCGACACAACCACATAATTGGGACGAGAGCTGAAGCAGCAGAAAGGAAATCACAGTTCCTGGATGAACAAGAGGACTTTTGCCACACATGCCCTGATCCTGATCTCACTCCCCTGCCACAGGCCTGGAGAAGCAGTTAAACCCTGAGCCCCCTGCAAGGGGCGAGTCCTGCTCAGTGTACCACCTGAGTTAGCTCAGAGTCCTGCCATAAGCCAAGAGGGAAAATCACAGCCAGGGACAGGGACAGTCCATGCCAGCCCTCTGAGCTTTTCTGTGCCTTTTCCTTCCCTCCCCCAGCCTCATCCTTATCTCGCAGATAAAGAGCAGACAAGCCAGTGATTATCCCCTATCAGGAACCAATGACTAATCTGTCTACCATGAGCGTTTATCCGGCCCCATCACTAGGTATCCCAGACGCTTGCACTCTTAATATCCTCCTCCCCACCATCCTGCCCGCCACCCCCAGCTGCAGCTATCCAGAGCAGCCTCCACTGCCTCTGCAGGATCACCTGTCTGCAGGGACCAAGAGGTCACAGAGAGGTGACTCTTCTCACCAAAGCTCAGCTCATCCCTCACCGTGGCCACGACCGCTGTGACAGATTAAGGAGGAGGAGGTCGCAAAATGCAAAGAGTAGGTGGGTTTTTTGGGGGTTCCCAGGGCTACCCCTCAGTGCCTGCTGCTCACACGTAGCGTTAGCGACGGAAAGCCCGAGCAGCAAGGAAGGGAGTGTGCAGCTAAATAAAACCTCCTCCTCCCACGCAACACATTGAGCACTTCGCACGTTGGGGTTCGGGCCGTAGCCAAATTAGCAACACGCCTCCAAATAAAGCCCAAATTTGCTTGTAAATGTATTTTTCTCTCTTATAAAAGATTCAGAGAGAGGGCTGCAATAGCAAATTCCCACACGTGCAGCACAACCCAGCAGATAACAGGCTGCCCAATTACGCTGGGGAGCTGGATAAACATTTAAGAGCAAACAACGGGATTTGTGCTGGGTTTAAATATTAATGGCAGGATTTGTCCACTTCCCCTTGCCAACGTTCACACCGTGGGGGCTTCGGCAGCGGCATGCCGTGACGCAGCTGATGAGTGATTCCATGTCTCAGCTCCAAAGGAGCTGGGAACGGCATGTAAAACAGCCCGGCGCCTGCATAACACATTTCTCATATAGCAGCATTCATGCTCCAAGGAGCCCTGTTTCAGATGTGCTGGATCTTGGTCCTGCCGGATTCAGATTTAAGGAAACACCACTGCACATCTTGAGTGGAAAGAGTGTTTCACCAGCCCGTTTACAGCTGGCTGTAGAAACTGAGATAAAAATGCAATCCATCACACCCCCAAGCTGGGCTCCCCCCGAGCTGGGAGCTTGGGGGTTTAACTGTTTGACAGCCAAGTGAGACTTGGCAAATACAACAACCGAGAAAAAAGGACTGGAAAAATCTACAAATTAGGAAACAGAGTGAAGTCAGGCATGGAAAATTCAACTCCTTGCTCAGAAATTAGCTGCCCAACATGAAGAAAACAAAAGGGGCTTCTGGACTGGGAAGCCATAGGTTTCCAGGGCTGAGGAGGCAGTAGAATCCTGTGGGTCCTGCCAAAGCATTGGCACATCCCAAATCCAAGCTCCTGAACCCAAGAAGGATACATCAGCTGAGTAGCACGGAAAGCACTCCTAGAACATCTGACTTGAAGCAGGATTTGTGATACAAAGAAAAAGGCATGATTGTTATTTTTAACCAGTACCTGGAGCTGATAAAGTGATGCTAAAAGCCACCCAATGATAAAGGTGGCTGCTCCAGCTTTCCCCTTATGGTCATTTCACCCGACTGTACCCAGCACCCATCAGTGGTTTGGGGCCTGGCCGTGCCAGCCCCGGGGTCAGCAGTGCCTGGAGCAGAGCTGGCCGTCATGGTGGCCATTCACAAGGGCCATCTCATGGCAGCACATGGTGGTGTTGCTGAATGCCTCCGGGCTCCTCTCCGGCATCCAGAGAGAAAACAGATGTGAAGGATCAGCTCAGGCCGGGGGGTGGGGAAGACATGGACAAATAAGCAAACGGCAGAAAACCTTGAAGAGAAAATAACCAGGCACCAGAAAGGAAATGAACTCTAACAAGGGATTAAAAATAGCAGCAAAGCAAGGAATTCAGCTCCGCCAAGACTCCCGGTTCGTTTTCAAGTGGAGGGAAGTCAGAGGGAGCTGCCAGGGCAGCCTGAAGGTTCACATACACCTGACAGCAACGGGGCAAGGGAATCCAGACTGGCTCCCAGCATGGTGGACAGGAGCAATGTGGTCCAGCCGGTACCAGTATCTGGTGCAGCCGACTTTGGAAGCTGCTTGTCAAGCACCACACGTGCTCTGGAGTCATTTGGCAACCCCAGCAGCTCTGCAAGACAAGGGGAAGAGCTGCCCTTCTCTCCAGTACTCAGGTGTGTTTTTTCCCTTTAATCCACAACAGTTCAGCAAACAGGAACACGAATGCCCTGGAGATCTGACCTTCTCATCCTCCCCTGCGGGAGGGCAGAATTTCAAATAGATTTACTGGCGCTGCCCTCCAGACACTGTCTCGGGATGACCTGAAAGTCAAAGAGCACCTGAGGACTCCTCAAACATCAGCCTTGGCTCAGTGTGACAGGACAGGCAGTGACTTCCTGCACACTGACCTGGCAGCCCGCTTGCTGTGCACAAGGAGCAAGATGGGACAGTATTAGCCCAGGAATTGAAGGAAAGCTCAAGGTGGTCAAGAATGCATGGAGAAAAGGGCAGCAGGCTTCTTAAGGCTTTTGAATAAGGAGATATGCTTTTCCCATGCCAAAGCCTGAAGGACCACTCCCTTTAAGGTTTTTCCAGAAGTCCTCTCCTCCACAGAAGCTCCCAAGACCCTGCAGGACCACAGAGGCCCCTTGGTGATTCACGTGGCTTGCCCTCAGAGGGAGTTGCCCCTGCACCTTGTGACAGCAGAGGTTTTGTGGCTTTTCTTACTTCTGGTTGAGAAGGGCATCCCAAGCCCTTCGATGGCACTAGCTGAGCACCACAGATACAGTATCATCCACTGGCATTTCTGTGGACCAGATAGACCACCCCAGCCACAGCTCCTGGACTGAGGGCAGCAGCACTCTCTGCCATGTCCACATGCTGCTCAAGGTGGGTGAGTTACAGAGCTTCAAATGTGGGGTCTGCCAAAATTTCCTGCTCTTTATGCAAGGAAGGAGGAAGAACTCACCAGTGATGCATGAAAAATACCTCTAAGCTCTGAATCTTCTGGGCCAACAGGCACTGTCCCATCTTTAAGCTCTCAGAGGAGTGGAGGGAATAGGGTGCCAAGGTGGCCACCACCAGATGATCCTCACTCCCTTGGGAGTCCTAGCTGTTGGATGCAAGCTTTCCAGCTGCAGCTTCTGGCTGTTCTCAGCATTCTACCCACCAGGAAAGACCAAGCAGCCACGAGTCACTTTTGCTGGCACAGTGATATCCTTGCAGCCTTGCTCTGTGCCAGGCAGCCACACTGCTGGCTTTGTCCCCTTGGGAAGGAGAATTGAAACCCACCCTGGTCTCCTCCCTCCAGCTGCCACTCCAGACGCCAAGCGTGGAGGTGCCAGACACGCAGGATGCTCTCACTGGCACACGCTGCCCTTTGCAGCCAAGCCACAGGAGCAGAAACGTGATCCACTTCAGCAGGCGGAGGTCAAGTGGGGAGCAGAGTGGCAGGCACACCTAGGCTCTGCTTGGACTGAATCCTTCGGGAACACACAAGCGCCTTGGCTGCGCTCCAAGACTCCATCATTACTGGATAGTTTGCATTTCCTTCTAGGAAGACAGCCGGGAAGATCGGCACGAGGTGCACAGCCCGCGGCTACAGATTCCTGCAAGGAACAAAGCTCCAATGCCCGAAGCTGAGCGTGCCAGACAATGGCAAGTAATTTTCTCTGCCATTCAGGCTCTGCAGGAGAGAAGGAGCATCCCAGAAAGCCTTATTTTACAAAACCAGACAATCCCCTTGCACAAGGGGCATTCCCCAGCCAGCCTGGTGCAAAATCAGTTCCTCAATCCTGCATGCTCACCATATAAACAAGGAAAGAGGAATCCTTTGGGTGACCAGAGGCAGGTGAGGAAGACCTGATGCTGATATGAAGCTCAACAGACTTCTCCTCAATAGAAGTAGGGGCAGGGAAAAAAGAAGGATTTCCAGAGAGAACATTCTTGCTCCAGGGTGCAATAACTTCAGGTGTCCAATGCAAGCAGTGGATCACTGTTTGGGTTACAGAGGCTAGCCTGCCAAAAGCCACCCTAGCCCTAACCCCAAGGCTGGGATGTGACCCCAAGGGTCTGAAATGCACATGGTCACATGGCACATCCTATCAAAAGCACAGCCTGAAGAATTACAAATCCCAACATCAGTGACCCACTATGAATGCATGATCCACAGCTGGGAAGGGCAAGATGGGGGACAAATTTGGATCCACTTCACCTGGAGACCCCAGAATTCCTCTCCCACAAACAGACCCCCATGGCTGAAGCCCTTCCTCACCCTGGGGTCAAGCAGGTCTGCAGTGTAGGTGGTTGCACTGTGGCTGTGCTTCTGGCAGGACCAGGAGGGGAAAACTTGCAACACTGTCCAGGATCAAAAATCGAAGCCCTGGACAGCATCACTATGAACTTGTATGTGAGGGGTTTGAATCCTTCCTTTTCACACGATGCAACATTTATGAGTTATACATCACCTTAAGATCATGTCAGCATCCTCTCCCAGGGTGAGACAAAGATGCTCTCCTGCTTGCAGAGCCATTTACTCACTTGTGACCAGCCACAGGGGTGTCAGATAGGTGCCAGCTTCTGTAGGATGACCATGTCTCTGTTGGTTCAAAATCGCACACTGGAGTGCGTGAATTTGCACAAGTCTAAAGGGAGTGAGAATTTTTCCTTTTTTTTTTTTTTTTTTTAAACCACTTGTAAAAAGAAGAAGCAGATATTGAACTGGAGCCAACATCTGTATCTTTGTAAGACTCTAATTCACCAGCCTTTTGCTGACTCTAGAGCAATAAATATTCTGAGCCTTAAAAGCTTTACTTCAATCTGCTTAGGAGAAAGCAGCCTCAAACAACAGCCAAGAAGGGATCTTGCCCAGCCTCAGCTTCAGTAGATCAGTTCAGAGAGGGAATGGCCCTCACCAGATCCTTGCAGCATCATAGTTCCTCATTCTTTTACAATGCCAAAAACTGAAGGCCCCCCACAAAAGCCAGTTACTTGGAGCACAACCACCCATGCGGCAGATGTGGCCCAGCAGACACAAAGGCCTCTCCCAAGGTAGGAACAGGAACAACCAGATAGAGAGAGATGAACACATCTAAGATCAGAGCTGCCATCACCCCCATGGTGATGGTGAACCTCTGGCCTTACTTCTCTACATGTGGATTCAACTAGTTCAGATGGTATTTTAGGCTGCATATGGGGCTTTTCATCTTCAGAACACTTAACAGGCACATGTTAATCCCTGCAACGCCCTTCCACGGCAGATAAGTGTTTATTATCTCTGCTCTACAGCTGGTGGGACTGGCACGGTGGGGAGCAGCTCATTGTTGCAGACCCTGAGCAACCTCAGCTCCTGGGCTCCTTGAAAATACACAGCAGGAGATCCTAAGGAGCCTGGGCCACATCCTGGGCCAATGGAGCAGGGCTGGGCTGGGCACTGTCCTCCAGATTTCAAGGGGAGGAAGTCAAAAGCATCTTTCAAACACAAAGCCCCAGGACACATCTCCACTGCCTTTGTGCAGTAGGTAAGAACAGCAGCGCTCATTTATTATGAGCAAATTAACACCCATGGAGATTAAAGCTTTATCTCCCACCAGCTCAGCCACAGCTGACTTAGTGCAGGGCCTGGGCTGACACTATGTCCCCACGTGCTGGAGAAGCCAGATCCCCACTGCATCTCCTGCTCCAGAGGGTCCCAGCACCACGTCCTTGGTTTCTCCATTCTACTCTGAGCTGTGCCTTGTGCACCACCAGCCTGTCAGCTCTGCCTCTTCTGCCTGTTGATGCCCAAGTTTGACAGATAAACACATAAAGAAGAGCAGAGGGCAGGATGAGGGCACCCCAATCATGTGGTCCCAACACCCATACATTAACATCAGTGTGACACTGCCAGCTCTCTCAGTGCAGCGAAAGACAAATGTAAAATGAAGGACATCACCATGGGCACCAAAACTACCACCCCAGCCCTAAACACCAAGTCAGGGTCACACAGCGAGGAGGGAGGAATTACCGTGCACTTGGTTGATCTCGGAGTTGGATGACAGGATCTCATCAGCCAGCTTTTGGGCGGTGGGCAGCACCTCGGTGTGGTGTGCTGTGATCAAATACTGAACAAACTTCTGGAGCTGGTCCCTGTTCATCTGGAATAGGGTCTCTGAGATGGGAAGACGGAGTTTGACCTGGTCTGGCTTGCGGATCCTGTACAGTGAAAGCGCCACGACGTGAGCGCAGTAAAATATGTCCTTGTTCCCACAGCCGCACGTCACGGAGGTGATTTTGCAGCGGTCGAAGCTGATGGCCACCTTGTAGGTCATCTCTGGTTCTGTCGCAGTCGCTGGCTCCGTTACTGTTCCGCTGAGGTGGAACCCTGGAAAGGGAAAGAGGAAGAGGGAAGGGTCAAGCTAGCTTCCCTCTGATCACAACCACCCATGTCAGCTTTGGAAGGAGGGAAAGCCAAGGCTGCTTGCGTGTCTCTCTCATATACCAAGGAGTGCAGCACCCAGCACAGCCCATCCCCGTGGCTTACACCCAGCAACACCCAGCCCATGTATACAAACACACTTCTGCACCAACACACACACAGCCAGACTCATCGGAGAGTTTATTTAACAGCCAAACCCTCAGGGGAAGAGCGAAGCTGCTCAGTTCCCATTTGTTTAAGTATCTCAGACTGTTTCTCTCCTGGGAGTCATTTCCATCCACGCCTCCCTCTCGCTGAATTTGCAACTCACATGAGTGAGGGCTGGTAGAAAAAGACCACGTTTGCTTTTCTTTGATGAAGCAGACAAAAAAACCCACAAACTAAATGCAAAGCAATTCCAACTTTGGTCTCTCAACCAGGTAGAGTGCTCCAGGGCATGGCCACAGCTCTGAGCTCTTCCACACAGTGGAAATAAAGAGCAGGGACAGGAGCTATGCACAGTCCAAACCACAGCTGGCAGAAAACCATTCCCTGAGTCCCACAAATTGTTCACACCAATGTTATGGTCCCCCTGACAATTCCCACCATGCACAAAGGGGCCACAGTGCCTTCAGGCACAAAGTGTGAAATAAGCCCCCAGAAGTCCCAAACGCAGGTGAGGAACATGAAATGGGCTCAGAAAGTCCCATGGGTCCAAAGAAAGGTGGATATGCCAAGCAAGAGAGGGACTAAGTCAATGAGATAAGATTGATGGATGGCTATCAACCTCACTTTGAACGGGAGCCTCAGGGAGTCCTTCTCACAATCCAGCTGCTGAGTGGGTCCAACACCAACACTCTGCACTTGCTCAGCGCGCCGGAAAAGCGTGGAAAAGTGGTTTCTCACACTCATCTGCCTTGTTCCTCCAAGAGAGGGTTAATTAACATGGCCAGGGCAATCTGGTGTCCCCATGTCAGAACATGGTGTGGGACCTGGCACCCCACGCTGCCCATCCCAGCCATCCTCCCTGAGGAGGATGCTCACTTTTCTCCATGCCACTGCAACCTTATTAAGCCTGTGTATGTACAGGTCCCTGCAGAGCCTGCCATCCCCTTGGAGAAGGCAGCAGACAGCTGAGAGCCCTACAATTAGCGGCAGAAAAGGAGAAGGGGTGTTGGGGGGTGAAGATTAAAATACATTAACTGCATCAAACTCTTGTGCGTTTGCCAGCTCTTACAAAGGCTTTCGGAGACAAATTCTACCAGAGGTTTTTAATAAATGGCATCAAAACCAGCTATTCACTGCCAGTCTCTTTAAAGCCACGCCAAAAACCACATTCAAATCTGATTAAGCGTCAAGGAGGTCTGCTTTTACTTTAGTGCCGGGGCGGGGGAAAAGCAGACCTGTTCTGCTGCCATCACCCAAAAGCCACCCCATGTGGCCAGCAGAGCAGGAAGGGAGGGATGGACAGCCCTGCACTTCCCTCCCCTCCCTGCTCTCAGGCTGCCGGGAGCAGGAGCGTGTCTGTGGAGGTGCTGGGCTCGGCGCCGCGGGAGCAGCACAGCCAGGGGCTGACAAACCTTCCCCTCCACACAAGCCCGTCCCCCAGCAGCCAAACTATATAAATCCAGAGGATAAACTCCGAAGTGTTTATGTTTTACCACTTCTCTGGTTTGCAATGCTTGGCAGGCAGCTCCAACTCACTGCCAGTTTCTCCCTAGTTTACTTTTTGAACAAGTTAAAGTGACTGGAAACTGCGTTCCTGAGCAAGTATGTACATCCTCATATGTATGCCTGCACACACATATATAAAACACTCTAGGACAAATTACTGGCCATAAACACTGCCTTGAAATGCTTACTTTAACAGGACCGTGGGCCTGTCCCCACTTGGGGCTAACTGGTGTAAGGCTGGAGGAACTCATTTAACCAAATGACCTGTTTCAGACAGGTGTAAGTCTGAAAATGTATCAACTGTGATCTCATCCAGCCTCTCAAGACAGAATATTTGTCCAGATACTTCTCAGGCTATTCTCAGGCACCCCAAAAGCTGTGCTCTCCCATCTGCTGCAAGAGCTGGTCTTGACAACTCAGATCTGGTCTGCACATCGAACAAGACCATTCAGTATGTCAACAACTGCCAAGTTCATCTGCCACTCGAGCCCCAAGTCAAGAGCTGGTTTAGATTTTAGCTTTGGTGACAGCAGGTCTATTTAAGATAAACTAGGAACTCTATGAAACATTTATCAAAACTTGAGTCAGAAATTAAACATGGTGGGGGGGGGGTGGAATAGAGATGAGCTGGCAGGAACAGAGGCATTATTTGTGAATACTTACATTAATGTGAGGTCAGACTACAGCTACTACATTGCAGACAGGTATGCACCCTATCACCCATGGCTGCTGAGCACACAAGCTCAGCAGTGATGGGTATCACTGTCCCAGAGAAGAGTAGTGGCTAAAAAGTGGGTTTTGGGGTGGTTACTCCATTGTCCATTGAAGCACACACTCCTGCTCCACACAAAACACTGATGCTATCACCAAAAAGCTATAGGTGACCCTGGAAAAGTACAGCTGTTACTGTACCCTCCTCTCTGTTCATCTTGCATCCTAGAAGAAAGAAGCATCCTAGGAGCTGTGATACCAGCACTTCAGTAGAGAGAAACATAGCCCTGATCACTGACACAGGATCTGGATGGCACTGAGAGCAAAGACATACTCTCCTCTGTGTCCTCCCTGTACATTTCAATTTAAGACACTCCCACAGCCCAGTGCTTATCTAGGACTTCATCTTCTGTTCTTAACATAAGCTAACTTGGTATTTGATTTGCTGCCAGCAAAGTGACAGTGCCAAGGCTTGAAAAACATGGAAAAGAGATAATTAAATACCATCTTTGTAACTACAGACTCATTACGCCCCTCCAGAGTCTAGCTTTGTCCCAAGAACAACATTGTCTTTTCCCTGTCCCAAAACACCCTCTCCTACTTTTACCACAGAAGCTTCCCAGTGGATGCCTCTTTGATCGAGGTTGTAAAAGGAGCTGAGTGTTCATAACTGCCCCAGAAAAAGCACAAAAAGGTGCCATGAATTTTCACGGGCACACAGGGCATGATGAGTTCATCTCTTTCTAATCCCAGCCATCCAACCCATCAAATGGGGACAAAATACTGGAGCAAGAACCTTCTTTGTTTTACTGCCACAGGACATTGCATCTCTGATTTAAGTTAAAACAGACCCTGGAATTGTTTTCCAGGAGTTTGTGAGCTCCACACTGGTGGGACTTACACACTTGTCAGCTGGGCAGCACTCTCCTCTTCGGAGCTGATGAACCCTGCAAGCTGGGAGGAGGAGGGATCCAAGGAAAAAAAATTCCTGGGCTTTCCAACAGCTGCAAAGGATCAAGCCTTTAGTAGGGACCCCAGTGCAGAGACTTTCCTATTAGGACACCAGCATTAACACCTCAACAGAAGCATCTTTAACCAAGATGGTGAATTCTTTGATTTCTAAACCTACTTAACCAAAAGGAGTTGTGCAAACTCTTCCAGTCCTGTAAAAGCAGAGAGCCTTTCAATGGGACATCTTTAACCCAGATATCCACATGCCAACCATCAGGAGAAACTAGCCTGTTCTGCAGCTCCAACCCACAGCCATGAGGCCAGCTGCAACGACCCCTTGCTTTGTGTCCTCCAGCAAATCACTGAAGATAAAGCACTCATTAAGGCTGGTTACATTGAAATACCTGGAGTGTGGAGATAGGCAGACCCCCAGATGGAAATTTAAACCCCAAAAACAAAGAAAACCCAGGCATAGCCCCTTCCCTTCTCCTAACTGTGGCACCAACACCTGCAAGAGAGGACTCCTCCACACCTACCACACTAGCTGGGAACCCGAGTGCTCAGCTCTGCTCCCTCTGGCAGTTGCTGCTCACAGCCATCCCTCAGATTTCACAGTGCAGCCCAGACAGAAGTCACAGTTGTCATTAGCTAAGTTGTGCCATTCGGAAAAAATTAGCTCTTTCCTCCCAGGCGTGGCAGTCGCCTGCTTTTCCCAGAGTGTTGGCACAGTCCTGCAGGGGTGGAAAGCACCACAGAGCTGCAGCTACCTGCAAGACCTAACCCTGAGGATGCTGCACTGGCATTGTTCTGTGAGAGGATGGGGGCCAGTCTTCATGTGGGGAACACTTATTCATGGCACTGTGGTTCTTCTGTCTCCTCCACAGGCGTTTCTCTGACTTTGTGGAAACCTTGAAGCGGGGGCAGAGAATGGCTCAGCAGAGAGAAACATGCCCTGAGCATGGACTGCTGGTGGGATGTGGCTGAACAGTGTACATAAAGAACTCACAACCACACCTGGCTGTCAAAACCTCAAGTAACCTCCTACTACCCGAGGCTGATATTTTGGGCAGCCTCTGTTAGGAGCAACGTGATGCAAAGTCCATCCCCGCAGCTTCCCAAAGGCACCGGCCACATCCCCTTGCATGGTAGCCAGAGGGGTGGCTGTGGCAGACAGCAGCTTGGATGCTCACTGTTCTTGTACTCCATGCTCAGCTCCCAGGATTCTCCACCTATAGCCAGACTAACCCCACTCCTAATCTGTTTTTGGGAGCTCTATCCTCAGGCAGGAGCTCTGTGAAACCAAACAGGAATGAATACACAGATATTTATGGGGCCCAGCAGATGTAGACGAAGTAAACTGAAATTCTCAGTTCAAGTTGTATACACTAGGTTAACGTGACCCAAATATATTTTTTTTAAAATTTCCAAGCCACAGCGGAAAGTTATTTTAAACTAAAGTGATTCCAAGCTCTTTAGTGATTAAACGGACTGCAGCTCCAGCTCCTAGTGGAAAAACCATTTGTTTTTCCAGTGTGTGAAAGCCATAACTAGCAATGAATAATAATTGCCGCACCAAGTGTTATTTATAAGTCATTCTCAGTCACATTTCCATGCCTCGAAACAGCAGCTTT